GCACGCCTCGGCCAATGGCGGCGCGAGTCTGGTCGAGGGCCCGAGCCGATTGATTCCCGGAGGGGCTCGGAGAAAGGGGCGGGACGTGAAGAGCCAGCCGAGGCTGGAGCGAATCGCCGCGTGCTTCGCAGCCAATGAGAAGCGTAGGCCAACTGGTTGCTAGGAGGAAAACAGGCTGAGAGATGTCGTCTTCGGGCCAGAGCTTGTTGCCCTCGGAACCACTGATGCTCCTCCGGTCCTAAGCTGTCCTGAGAAACGTGTGGACGGGGTGCGGCGAGGCCACATGACTCGTGTCTTCTTAGGATCTGGGCTCTTGGGCCACGCCAGGGCTCCTCCAGGTCCTCGGGCTGTGGAGTCCCCTGGGCAACTTGGTTTTCGTTGTTGTTGTATCATTTACATTTAGTAAGGTGTGTGATCTTTAGTGCACGGTTCGATGGCTTTAGATGAATGCTTCTAAAAACACGGATGCAGGGTCAGCGAGATGGTTCAGCAGATGACAGCCCCTTTCGGTGGAGAGAACATACTCCTGCAAGCTGTTGACTGATCTCCACACGGGCATCCACACTAGACACACTCAATAAATAAATAAATGCTAAAAAATTCTAATGCCCGGATATAAGAAAGGAGCCCAGAGATCTGATTTTATGGGTTTTTTTGTTTGGTTTTTGTGGGGCCTCTCCTGGGCATTATTTTGGTTGCCAGGGCCATTATTTGATTAGTTGCCCTTCTAATCTGGTGAGCCTTTGAATTACCAGAGTAATTCAAAGTGTGGGACCAGGAATGTCATAAATCTGTGTGGTTCTAAGCGGAGCTGTGGCTGTCCAGAGAAACTGAAGTTGAGACCAGGGGAAAACCATGCCTTTGAGGCCCAACTGGCTTGTGTTCCCTGTGCCTTATGTAAGCAATTTCCTCCGCCCGGAAGGTTCCTACCTTCTCCTTCATCATTTTCACGGGGCCAGTGTCAGGATGGCTTTACCTGTCACTTCCAGGAGACCCCACCTCTAATGAGTCTACTAAATTGGGCTTCCAGGTCCATCCATTGTCATTCCTGCCTGCCCATCATTCCCAGGACACCTGAACAGGGTGTTACCCAGAGTCCTGGGAAGATCCATCCCTGCTCCTGGGAATGGTGTGTGTGAATATGTGTGTGCTCACGGGTGCTTTGCTCTTCAGAACAGATAGGGTGGAATTTCCAGACTGTCTCAGAGGAACCCACGAACCTATGACGCTGAGCAAACGGAAGGCGCCCAGGCTTCGGAGCTAACCTCTCATGTTTCATCTCAGGCCCAGGCTTTGCTGGCTGTGACCTCTGCCCCTGCAGATGGCGCTATTACCTTGATGGGAAACTTTTTTTTTTAACTTGAATTCTCTGTCTTCATGTACACCTGCAGGCCAGAAGAGGGCGCCAGATCTCATTACAGATGGTTGTGAGCCTCCAAAGGGTTGCTGGGAATTGAACTCAGGTCCTCTGGAAGAACAGCCAGTGCTCTGAACTGCCGAGCCAGCCAATGAGAAAGTTTTAGACGGGAGCCATATTCAGATCAGCAGCTTTGAGAAAGTGCCAAGCACATGGTTCTTATACCCCAGACCAGGATAAAGGAAGGAGGCGGAAACTATGTCCCCATCCCTCCTTAGGGCAGCAGATTCTGTCTCTCCAGGGGAGGACACTATCGTCTGGCCAGCCGCTCCAGTTTTGCTAAAAATAATTTATTTATGAGCCTTACAAAAATACATTGGCAAGAGAAAAAATAAAAGGGCTGTGGGTATGGGCAAGTCCATCCTTCCTTCTGGTAGCTCCCTTGAGACCCTGCCAGAGAGTGGGGAGTCAGGTGGGAGCCCCCCAAGCTCAAAGTGGAAGAGGCAAAGGTCAGAAAGCAGAGGGCTGGCCTGAGCCCTGCTAGCCATGGGGGCCGACCCAGCAGGCACCTAGGCACAGGGCAAGGGCTGTCCCGGGAGGACAAGAAGAGGAGGGAGGGGACACTGAGGACTGGGCAGGCAGGAGGGCCTGCTCAATCCGTCTCTGAGGTGAGGCCCCTGGGCCGGGGCTGGGGTGGCAGCATTGGAGGAGTGGCGTGCCCACCTACAGCCTCAGCGCCGCCTCTGTCCTCTGCCCCGACTCCCTGGTCCACCTGCGCAGGCGCGCTGGAGGTGACGGGGCCAGGGGACGCCGGGCTCGGGGAGGCTGGTAAACGCCGGCTCTGGCGCCGGGCAGGCTGCGGAGGAACGGGGGGTAACGGGGGAGGCACCGTGGGGGCCCGGAGGCTGGTGCCCACCAGACGGCGTGGCAGAGCTTGGGGAGTGCCAGGACTGCCAGAGCCGGGGGGCAGGGATGGAGCTGGAGGGGACGAGCGTGCCCCGGAGGGCTGGGGAGGCGGCATGGTAGGTCGGGCTGGTGCCGGGCGCTTGGCTGTGGAGGAAGCGAAACAGAGGCAAGTTAGGGGTTCGTGGGTCTGGGTGCGTTCCTCCTGTGTGGTGGGGTGGGGTCACTTTCCACAGGGGGTCCTCATCATAGTGTCTTTTCACTCTGTGGGGTCCTCAACATCTCAGCTTATGATAGCGCCCCTGGACCCCACCCCCGGACTCCACCCCAGTAACAGTCACCTTTCCTGGTTTTATTAGCTTTAGAGGACTTGTCATCTGAGACTACCTTGTCCTTTTTTTTTTTTTTTTTTTGGTTTTTTGAGACAGGGTTTCTCTGTGTAGCTTTGCGCCTTTCCTGGAACTCACTCTGTAGACCAGGCTGGCCTCGAACTCACAGAGATCCGCCTGCCTCTGCCTCCCGAGTGTTGGGATTAAAGGCCTGCGCCGCCACCGCCCGGCTACCTTGTCCATCTTTATCTAACTTGGTCCTTACTTGTTCCTCTCCCTAGAACATAAACCCAACGTGGCCACTGGTTATCACAGGCAAGCATCTGTTCAGGCACACATCTGTTGACTACATAAATGCCACCCGTCCCGGCTGACACATGGGTCCTGCTTGCCTCAGAAGTCCCAGGTCCTCAGGCAAGCTTGGACCTTGTGAGACAGCTGGGGGACTAAGTGGAGCTGAGGTGAAAACTCTCCCTGGCTCTCTGGACTGGGCCGTCTTGGAGTGGCTCCTTTGCTTTGGGGGGGGGGGGGGGGCATTTCCTCACTGGTAAGATGGGGTGAGAGCCCCAATCTCCCACAGCAGCTAGTGCCAGGTCAGGTGACTGTCTTCTGGGTCCCTGTGTGGGTCTGCACAATCCTCCTGCTGCTCTCCTAGCTCTGCATGATGCACCCAGCTCGAAACCCCTTGTCCCCAGGGCCTAAGAGTCAAGGCTCCCTAGTGATCCGGTCCCCACATGGACCCTTGGCTCTTACCTGTCCATTCTGGGCCAGGCTGACCTAGGAGTGTGCTAGAAGAGTTCAGGAGCCTCCTGCACTCCTCCCAAGCTTCTCTCTTCCCTCTACCCTTAAACACAGTTTGGGCCCTGTGCTTTGTGCTTTCGGGCTTCTGGAGGGCTGGAACACCCACCGCGCTCACACTGGCTACCTTTCCTGAGCACTTTTCTGTGTGCCAGAGCCCTGCCCACTCCCTGAGGTCTCAGCTCACGCAGCTCTTCAAGGTCAGAGCAATTATAGTTTCTAACGCACAAAGCAGGGTGTGGAGGCCGGCAGCATCACCTGCCCAAGGGGTACGAGCTGGAATCTGGGGCCAGAGTGCCAGGCAGGAAACCCCTGAGCATCTCGCTCCGTCTATTGCTGGCCTTTGTGGTGAGCTAAAGTCATGGGGGGGACTGGGATTTCTGGCTCTCTGGCTCTTCTCTCCCACACCCAGCTTACTTCTCCGGGTCATGTCCTCTGCTGAAGCAGCCATCTCTGTGGGGCTCCTGCTGACCTTGGGAGAAGCTGGTTTGGGCAATTCCGACTCTGTCCTGTCGGGAAGACGGCAATGGTCAAGCCTGGCCATCTCCTGGCGATCTCCCAGAATCCCGCATGACTCCAAACTGTCGGGTGGAAGGACCTGCTCCCCACTGCCTGTGGCTGTGCGGAGACTCTGTCCTCCCTCTCCGTCCCTCGGTAGATGCTTCAGGTACTGGTGGGGTTTGTGGCCATTAAGCCTGTCCTAATTGACTTATTGTCCACTCGACACAATCAAGAATCACATGGAAAGAGGGAGTGTCCACTGAGGGACTGCCCAAATCAGACTGGTCTGTGGCCATGTCTGTCTTTTTTTAAAGACTTATTTATTATGTGTACAGTGTTCTGTCTGCATGTATGCCTGCAGGTCAGAAGAGGGCACCAGACCTCATTAAAGATGGTTGTGAGCCACCATGTGGTTGCTGGGAATTGAACTCAGGACCTCTGGAAGAGCAGCCTGTGATCTTAACCCCTGAGCCATCTCTCCAGCCCGGGGAACTGTCTTGATTGCTGACTGATGTGGAAGGGCCCAGCTCACAGTGGGCCGTGCAGTCCCTGGACGGTGGTTCTGAGTTGTATAAGAGAGCTGGCTGACGGGAGGTGCTGGCGCACGCCTTCAATCCCAGCATTCAGGAGGCAGAGGCAGGCGGATCTCTAAGTTCCAGGCCAGCTTAGTCTATAGAGAAAGTTCTAGGACAGCCAGGGCTACACAGAGAAACCATGCCTTCCCCCCCACCTCCCCACCCCCGCCAAAAACAAACAAACAAACAAACAAAAAACTAGTCTCTGAAGAGCAGGAAACTTTGCTTTGGGGGCTGGAGAGATGGCTCAGCAGTTAAGAGCACTGGCTGCTCTTCCAGAGGTCCTGAGTTCAATTCCCAGCAACCACATGGTGGCTCACAAC